ACTGAGCTCCTGTATAGCTTTTTGTTTTCTTCATTTATTTTTTCATTAGTATTTCAATTTATATCAATACATACGTCGTCCCGATGATGTGAACTTCTTCCATTTTAGTTATGTTTCTATTTGCTTATCAAAAGCACTTGAATAGTGCATACCTATGTACATATATCTTTGTTCGTATGGAACAGGAGCTTATGTCGAAAGGCTGGCTTTAGTATAATGTGGCATTCGCGGCATACGAATTGCGAATGACTCCCTGGCGCCGAGCCGTGGAAGAACTTTTGGCAAATAAACGTGCAAGAAATAGTTCCGATACTAATAAGCCAATATTCTTATTAAGTCTCATCAAAAAATTCCTTGTCGTTTAAATAATAAAGGGAATGCCGCATTATACTAAAGCCAGCTTCCCAGCTACATACATTGGTATATATTTGCATGGTCGAATATGCACGTGCACGTTAAAAGAAATCATATTTTTTTACAAAATTTTTCAAAAACTTAAATCGACATAAACCACATACATGCATAAATATTGTTACTATTGTTATTGTTATTGTTAGGGTTGACTTCGATAAATGCAATATATGTTTACTTTTTCTCATAAAATATCTGCCTTTATGGCAGGTTTAAATTCCCCGTAACTTACCTTACAGAGTAGTTCAAAAATCGTATAAACGAAGCTTTACTTTTGCCTACTAAGTACCTGAAACATTCTTAAATTATAAGTAATCTCAGCATTTGCCGGTATGGGTGCCTAGCAGCCTTCACGCATTTCTCATGGCTCAGTAGTCATTCACCTTGTATGACATGCCTAATAGGTTATACACACAGTGTTGAGAAAAATAATAGAAACAAATACATTTTTTTTTTTTTACCAAAAACTGTCACACTTCAAAAAAAACCTAAATCATTAAAGTAACCGCCGAATGTGACGTAACTATGATTACTTTATTAAACAAAACAAAAAATAAACTTATCAAATCGTAGAATTACGACTATTGTTCTGGCCAACAATGTATGTATGTATACACTATACTAAAAATGTATGTATAGTGCAAACTCGGTATTGTTATTATAACGGCTACCTAACCCAGACGAGACTAGTTTATCATTTAATCGTCAAGATCAAGTAACTAAAAGAAATGAAGTGTTAGTAGAGATAGGCAGTCTACCAGGAAATGCTTGCTCAGCATTATGCGGTATTCACTTATTGGGAGTATCTATGCCTAGACCTGTACTTAGATGGCTTTCTGGCGACATTCAAGCATATCCCCTAGCTTTCAGGAGTGCTTGATTGTGTCATGATTTTAGCTTCACGCTAGTTGCCTTGTATTTATGTATGTTAATCTTTTTTCCGATATCAAAGCTCATTGAAAAGTATTTGTGTTCACGCCTCATCAACTTGCATCCGTTTTTTCCAATAATAAACAAAGGAAAGGAAAAAGTCTAAGTTCGGACGAAGCCGAAAATTATATAGTTATAACTTATAAGTAGCGGTACCACGCCCATTTTATAAAATTCCATAATAATGATATTAGTTTTAAGGAATTGTTGTGAGTATCAATTTTGAGGAAATTAGCGTCCTTAAATTTCGAAATCTCGAAGTTTTAAGCATTTCTGAAATTTATCGTTATATGATAAGTGGTCGTAATTCTGTAAGTCCGATTTCAAGAATTTTCCACGTTTTTGTTTTTATGTGCTGGCGTCGGCCAGCAAATGAAAGAGAATTTTATCGCCTATGTCACTTCTTCGTCACTATTGGAAGTTATCAAAGCGATAGTCGCTTTTCTATCTTCTTAAAGATGTCCGGACGCAAATATTGGAAGTTAATTTAAGTAAAATTATACACATTTTTTTTCTCAATTGTTTTTGATTTTTCAATTAACGTGCAATATCATATTCCATGGGGAAATTAAACCATTATCATTATTGTTATTATTATTATTTATAGTTTCACCATTATCATATTCGAATAACAAATAATAATTTTAATATTT